ATCCCTAAAGTTTAGGGATTAAGATAAACTATAAATTAGGAAAAGATAAACTAATATATCTAAACTATATCTTAGAATATCTTAACACAGCTAATAAAATAGATTCTAATAAAATAGATTCTAACACTCCCCCTCAAGCTGGTGAATAGGTATTCTCCATTCCCAGCTTGGAAACAATCTTCTCAAAGATGTTGCTGTTCAGCCCCTTTGTTAGAATATCTGCAAGGTTGTCTTGTGAGGAGACATATGGAGTGCATATCAGACCACTATCTAATTTTTCTTTGATAAAATGTTTGTCAACCTCAATATGTTTGGTTCTATCATGTTGCACCGGATTATGAGCTATGCTAATAACAGATTTGTTATCACAATAAAGTCTCATTGGTTCATCCGATTTTATCCTTAGGTCTTCCAAGATAATCTTCAGCCAGAGTAGTTCACATATCCCTTGTGCCATTGCCCTGAACTCTGCTTCAGCACTGGATTTGGCTACCACACTTTGTTTTTTACTCTTCCAAGTCACAAGATTCCCTCCAAGGAAAGTGCAATATCCCGTAGTTGACCTCCTATCCACAATTGACCTTGCATAGTCTGCATCTGTATATGCTTCCAGATTTACATTCCCATTTTGTTTGAACAAAATTCCCTTGCCTGGGGTCCCTTTCAAATACTGCACAATTCTTAGTGCAGCTTGTAAGTGAACCTCCTTCGGCTGGTGCATGAACTGGCTGACTAGACTCACGGCGAATGCAACATCAGGTCTAGTGTGAGATAAATATATCAGTCTACCAACTAGCCTTTGATACACTTCCTTGTCAACTGCAGTATCTTCTTCTGCGTTTCCCAATTTCAGGTTTGGGTCAATTGGTGTACTTGCAAGCTTGCATGCTGTCTTACCAATCTCTTTCAACAAATTAGTGATGTATTTCTGTTGAGATATGAATATCCCCTTTTTAGAATGGGCCACTTTAATTCCCAAAAAATACTTCAATTTTCTCAAGGTCTTAATTTCAAATTCCTTGGCTAGATGTTGGCCTAACAATCGTTGCTCTTCCTCACCATCACCTGTCACTATAATATCATCCACATAAACCAGTAACACTGTTAGTCCCCTTGACTTAGAGTGTTTAATGAACAGAGTTTGGTCTCCTTGTTTAAAGCCTAAACTTATCATAACTTTAGTAAACCTTCCAAACCACGCTCGTGGTGACTGTTTCAGCCCATACAATGCCTTTTTTAGCTTGCAAACAGTGTTGGAAACTATTTTTTCACCATATCCAGGGGGCAATTCCATGTAAATCTCCTCTTCAATTTCTCCATGGAGGAAGGCATTTTTAACATCAATTTGTTGCAAGTTCCAACCATAATTAGCCGCTATGGACAATATCACCCTAACTGTATTCATTTTTGCAACTGGAGCAAATGTTTCCATGTAATCCACTCCATAGGTTTGAGTGAATCCCTTAGCTACTAACCTTGCTTTGTACCTCTCAATGGATCCATCAGCCTTGTATTTTATAGTATATACCCACTTGCACCCTACTAGTTTTTTTCCATTTTGGGAGAGCAACAAATCCCAGGTACTATTCTTCTCTAATGCTTCCATTTCCACATCCATGGCTTGTTTCCATTTTTTATCACTCAATGCCTCAGATAAAGAGGTAGGTGTTGTTGTAGTGTTTAGGCTTGTGAGGAAGGCTTTATGGGTAGGTGAGAAGTTTCTAAAGGATAGATAATTGGCTAGAGGGTACAGTGGCTTGGTGGTACATTTCCTGGTTTCTTTCCTAAGGGCAATTGGAATATCTAGGTCCTCATAAAGTGGTGCTGGACTGGTTTCAGGTTCCTGTACAGTTGGGAAATCAGAGGTTGATTTTGTGGAGATTAAAGGATCAGGGGTAGTTACCTCATGTAATGTTGGGTTGGATTGTTGGACATGGACAGATTCTGGAATGGCCTTTGTCTTCCTTGTATAAACCAGTCCTTTTCCAAATCTTACATCAGCTCCATCTTGAATGGATTTAGTGGGTTCCTTCTCAGTTGTTACACCTTTAGTCCCTATTTCTGGTCCCAAGCTTAAGTCAGGGAGCATAAGAAGATCATCTTCCTTTCTTGCAGTCTCCCCCTGAGGATGATCTTGGTGGAAGTAGCTTTTGTGCTCAAAAAAGGTGACATCTCTTTTGTGATGGTGGGTGATAGCATTTATGTCCCTTTTGTGTGGATGATTATCCCATGAAAACACATTTTAAGGCTGTAGGATCAAGTTTACCTCTATTACCACTGTGGACATGGACAAAAGACACACCGAAATATTCTTGGAACAAGTTGATTGGATGTGGAAACATTAGGATAAAAGGAGGACAGAACCTCCATAGGGCTTTTTGATGCTAGAATACTAGAAGGTAGTCTATTAATTATATAACATGCAGTAAGAACAACCTCCCCCCAAAACCTTTTAGGAATCTCATGTTGAAAAAGAAGAGCCCGAGTTTGGTCAAGTAGGTGACCATTTTTTCTCTCAGCAATCCCATTTTGTTGAGGTGTTTTGACACAGGTTGACTCATGAATGATACCTTCCTTTTGACAAAAGAAAATAAGCCCATGATTAAAGTAATCTTTGGCATTATCGGATCTAATCCTCTTAATGCTAACTCCAAACTAATTTTTTACCATGGAGAAAAAATGCTGATCCACAGCTGACTTCGGATTTTTGTTTTAGTAAGAAGACCCATGTGACACAAGTACAATTATCTATAAAGGTGAGGAACCAATGGGCACCAGAAACATTTGGGACAATTGAGGGACCCCACACATCAATATGAATTAAATAGAAGGGAAAAGTGCTCATATTATTACTAACTGGAAAAGGTACACGCTTGTGTTTAGCAAGCTCACACACTTCACAATTGAGACTTTCCACATCTAATTTGCTAAAAAGGGAAGGGAATAACAATTTTATGACTCTAAAGGAAGGATGTCCAAGACGACAGTGATGTAGGAAGACCTTCTCCCTGTTGGCCTTCATTGAATCAGAGAAAAAAGAGTTGCTATTTTCCAGGTCCGGTGGCAAATCCGGATTATCCAAGTAATAAAGGCCATTCCATTCTCTAGCATGTCCAATCGTCCTCTCCGAGTACTTGTTCTGCAGTATACAAACATTGTCATAAAAAATAACATTACATGATAGGTCTTTTATGAGTTTATTTATGGAAATCAAACTGACAGACAGTTTAGGAATATGAAGGACATTTTTAAGGGTTATAGATGGGCTTATTTGAACTTCTCCTTGACCTGCTGCAGTCATCAGAGAGCCATCTGTTGTGGATATTTTCTTGTTGCTAGGGCAAGTGGTGTAAGAAGAGAAATGTTTAGGTAGGGGTGTCATGTGGTCGGTAGCCTCAGAATCTAGTATCCAATATGGGTTATAATTTTTATCTAAGGCATTAAGTCCAAAAGAAAAAGGAAACATACCTGAATGTGCTAGAGAACAAGTACCTGTTGACTTATCCAACTTGTTGAGGAATGATCTCATCTGCTCTACTTCATCCTGGTTAAGTTGAATCACTCCTCCTTTGTTTTCTTCATTGGTGGCAACACCTATGTGTGCATGTCCTCCCTTTCTGGTGTTGTCTCCTTTTTTTCCCCACTCCTTGTCTCGGTTTTGGGACCCCAATCCTTACTAGGTGGCTTTCCATGCAGCTTCCAGCATTTTTCACGAGTGTGGCGAGGCTTGTTACAGAAGGTACACCACACTCCTTCACCTTTCTTCTCCACATCAGCTATTCCCCCTTTTTCTGGTCTACCATCATGGCTGATCCGGAAGCTACCATGGCTGAATTTTCCATGGTTGGGGGTTCTAGCATTATTCCCCTTCTGCTTTCTTCACTTCTGACCATAGCTACTACTTCATTAATTCCTGGAATTTTTTCTTTTCCGAGGATCTAGACTCTCACTTGATCAAAATCAGAGTTAAGCCCTACCAAGAAATCATAGACTCTATCTTGCTCAATATACTCTTTGAGCATTGCTGAATCATCTAAGCACTTGGCTTTTATGACCTTGTAATGGTCTAACTCCATCCACAGAGATTTGAGTTGATTGGCGTACTCTGTGACAGTCTTGTTTCCCTGTTTTGCAGCCACAGTCTTCACCTTCACATCATATATTTGAGCAGCATCTTTAGCTTTGGAGTATGTCTGCTCCATGGCATTCCAAATCTCCTTTGCAGAATTAAGAAACATGCAAGTATCAGTGATTTCTGGGATCATGGAGTTCCATAGCCATGCCATGATCATAGAGTCCTCTTCATCCCATTTTGTAAATTTGGGATCTTCTTCTTTAGGAGCATCTTCAGTCAAGTGTTTAGCTTTCCCTTGACCTTTCAAAGTTCTATGAACAAGCTGGGCCCATTTCAAGTAATTCTTCCCATTCAATCGGTAGGCAATGTTGAGGTTCTGCAGCTGTTCCTGAGTGTTCTGAGACTCAGTATTCACCACTTCAGCAATTGGGTCTGCCATGTCCACCGTAGTACAACGACCCTAATGCAGTGAGTATGTATTTGATTGTTGCGACGGCAACTAAGAAACAACACTGCAAATCATAGCAGCAATGAAGGCTGATTGTCCTAAAAAAAATGATTGACAACAATGAAGGCTGTCCAGGAATGAAGGCTGCCGTCTAGGGTTTTGGTTTGCGCAGTCAGAGGTGGCTCCCAGAATTTGAGAGCTCTGATGCCATGTCAAAATTTAGGGTAGAATAATTTTTCTTATTAATCTGAATTGATGGGTACAATCAAATAAATAGGCAACTAACAGAAACAATCCCTAAAGTTTAGGGATTAAGATAAACTATAAATTAGTAAAAGATAAACTAATATGTCTAAACTATATCTTAGAATATCTTAACACAGCTAATAAAACAGATTCTAATAAAACAGATTCTAACAGTTAGTTTATTGCATTGTTGGTTTCGCTTCATGTTTGCTATTGTTGGCTTTCCTTCAGGTTATATTGGGAATGAAAAGAAGTCAGGTGTTCTTTCTACCTTATTTGAATATTCAATGCAATGGAGTTGCCCAACTATTTGCCTTGAGGCCCTTCAGGTAATCTTGTTGGTAAATTTGAGTATTTTTTGCATAGTTTGCTGAGTTATTTATTTGCTAGCAACTAAAAATGGGGATGGTGTACATGGTTTGTGGATTTTTTTTTCTTTGATGAGTCTGTCATTTTGGTTTGAATTCTTTAACTTATGCATACATTGGATAGATTTCTGCATAAATGACAGCGATAAGACTGCAAAATATATAAAGAAAACATAAAGAAACTGAATATTATTTGTTGATATTGAGTACAAGTGATTACTTGTATATAAACAGCCACTATTCAACTCCTTAGTAACATGCTTGTCAATCGGATAGAAAAACCTTTGGTGGTGATTGCTGAATCCTCTATTGCTTCTTCGTACCTCCTCCAATCTTCATCCATGGTTCCAAATGCAAAAGAAACCAAACAAATATGGAAGGAAAGGAGAGTGTATGGTATTGGTATGCACTTCCAAGTGGGAGATTAGCAAAAGATGAGGAACTTGCCATAAGGAGGAATTTCTTAATAAAAATTTTCGAAGAAAGTTTGGAAAATCTCAAATCTCATAAATGGCTCAAAGTGACAGATATTTGGATGTATATGGGTCTTTGCTTGTTCCTAAACACTTTTCTCTATATTCAAGTCCACTCAAGAACAAACAATATCCTGAAGTGAATTTTTGTGTCTATAATGCACCCTGCTTAGTTTGTGCAGGTGTATACTATACGTCTATACCTCTGTAAAGTCTTTCTACCTTTTAAAGAGTATCCCTTTTCCTGGGTGTGCTACAAATAAAGAGTGAAGTAATGAAATAAGGAAATAATATTGGGTGCTCCAGCATTAACTCTTATGATATATTGTGTTAAAATATTGCAACTGTTATTGGCTTTGCATATTTTTTTATTTTTATTTTCTGGAAAAAGGTTACTGAAATTTGATGACTTGCTGCAAAATGAAGATAGGGGTAATGTTGATGTCAACCGTAATATGCTTGATTCTGAAAGCTAAAGTGGTATCTTGCCTTTGTTATTTCAAGAAAGCCGCCTTAATTATGGTCACCCCTAGCCCACCTTAGTTGCATCCTCATTGGGGCCTGACTTAATTGCAGCCTCAAGGATGGCGTTTTAGCCCCACATTGAATAGAAATATGACTTGATAGAGCTTATAAAGCTTAGGTATTCTTTACCTTATAACTTGATTTTGTGGAGTTGAATTAGGATCTAAGAATCTTGATTTTGTGGAGTTGAATTAGGATCTAAGAATGTTAGATAAAAAGAAAGGTTAAAACAGTGATGATATTTTTCATTTCATTTTTCATTCGAAACAGAATGTAAGGGGAGCCTTTTATAGAAGCTACACCTCTTAGTACAGCTGTAGGATAGATTTACTAAATCAAAAAGGAGACAGGTGGCATACAACACACCTGCAGGGAGATTCTGTTTGTTATAACAGAATTAAAAGTTAAATGCAGAACAGAAAAGGTAAAAGCTGGTAAAAACAATATTTACACACTAATAAAGAACAAATTCAAAAATGGTATGAGAGCCTAATCTAGATCCATCGTTGGACCATTTGCATTTACTATGCTCTAAGTTGGTATCCCTGTACGTAAGAGGGTCACTCTTAGCCCACTATAATTTTGGCCCTCTTTGGGAGATTCTTAGGGAGTTGTATTGGATTAGGATTTTAAAAGACTTTTTTAGTTAAATTTTTTTTTAGAAGACTTTGCATGATTTTCATGACTTTTAAGACTTTGTAGGATTCTGCAAGACTTTAAATCATGATTTTAATGGATTCTACAAGACTTTTAAATAAGGATTTTAATTGATTTTACGAGACTTTGTGGATTTTATAGAATTTTTGTGGATTTTTGACGTATGATAAGATTTCAAATTTTTTTTCATACATTCAAATTTTAAGAGTTAAAGACAAAAATAATAAAAAAAATAACAATGTCTAGATAAATAATAATAATAATAATAATAATAATAATAATAATAATAATAATAATTCTCTATAATATCATATCCTCTTAAATAACATTCATCCACATATCCATAGTTATACTAGTCCTCCAAGCAATAGCTCCTGAGTTTGAATAATAAGCTCAAAAGTATGATCTTCATTAACCAGTAATGTTGAAGTTAAAGGATCAAATACCTTGGCCATTATAAAAAACATGTAAAAATGGAAATATAGAAACATAAGATAATTTTTTATATAAAAAAACAGTATATTCGATACTAAGAAAATATTTAGATATATAAATTTTTTTATATAAACGAAATTCTTTAGATATAGAGAATATATATATATATATATATATTAGTATTTTAGTTATATATTATATGATAATTTTTTAACAATATTTATAAATGTAAATTATTCTAACAAATATTTTGACAATATTTCCTTTTTTTAAAATAAGTTAATGGAGGCATAAACCCTAAACCCTAAAAATTAGATATTGTAATGTCTTATGTTAATTTCCTTTTTTTAAAATATAAAAAAAATCCTAATTTCACAATATAAAAATTAAAAAAATTAATAGTATAAAAAATAAAATAATTGTTGGGTCATAAAAGGAGGAGGGATAAGAGTAACAAACTCAAAGGAAGCAGAGAGATCGCAGTTTTTATGATGAGAGTTTTTCTCCCAACTAAGATCTATTTTCATCTCATTCTACTCATAGAAACCCTAACTCAAATTTATCTTATATATATATATATTGTAGAGATCATGTATCAATTTGATCTTTTACCTTTTCCTTTTCTTGACGTGTGTTATAAAAAAAATTACCACTTAAAAGTTGAAATTTCAAGCATTTTTTATTATATAAAGGAAAAAATTAAACTAAAAAGAATAAAATAGAGCAAGTCAATTAAAGAGAACGAAGAGAAAAATAGAGCAAGTTAATGACACTGTCATTTACATATCGGAGTTTCACAAAATAGGAGAATGGAATGAGAACAATACTACAGTATTATATATGAGCAATGAACAGTAGTGCAGTATTATTAGTAGAGAAAAAATAGAGAAGACAGAAGCATAGAAAAAAAAAAGATGAAAAATTCACTTGGAAATTCTTGAAGCACTTGAAAATTACTTCAAACAATCTTCCAAAATCTGGTGGGTTTGGATGAGATTGTTTTATGAATTTGGTATTTATAGATAACACTAGAAAGTCCTTCAAAATCTCTCTAACATACAATCCTTTAAAATTCTTATATTTTTTAATACCAATGAATTGTTTTTAAGTTGTAAAAAATCTCAAATGAATACCAATAAATTTTAATGGACTCTTTAAAAAATCTTGAAAATCCAGATTGAATACCACTTGATTGTTTTTAAGTGACATAAAATCCTAATTGAATACCAACGGACTTTTTTTACTAAAAAAAAGTTTTTTAAAATCCTATGAAATCCTAAACCAATACACGCCCCTTAATTGCAACTCAAGAGTGGTGGTTCAGTCCCTCATCAATGAAAGATATGACTTAAATATAGCTTATAAAGCTTCGACAGTCCTCATCTCTTAAGTCAATTTTGTGAGATTAAGTTAGGTACTAAAACTAAATTCTAAGAGTTAATTTGTCATGAAAAGCTACATTAATAGCTCTTTTCGAACTTCAAAATAATAGTTACTGGTTGACATTTTTTTTTTCTATTGATTTTTCAATAAGTTGATGTGCATCATAGTTAGATTGTTGATTTATTCAGATTAAATTTCTACAGGCACTTAAAGCTGCATCCCACAATTATCCTAATATAGTGGCTGCATGTTGGGAACAAATTTCTGCTATGGTGTATGGCTTCCTTAGCACTATATGCCTTGAAACTCCTTCCAGGCAGTCAAGTGAACATGTTGGTAGCCCTACTCCAGTTATTAATGAAAAAGTTCTCGTCACTGCTATTAAGGTAACCACTTTGCCCTTCATAAATGCTAAATCTTCCTCAAATTAGCTTCTCAGTCCTCTTGCCCTTCGAATATTAATTCGTGAATAATCAGTAGTCAATTACTGTGAAGAAAATGCATGTGTCGTTTACATGGAAGTTAATTTCTGTCTTTGCATTCCTCTCTAAGATATATATTGTAATGTTCTCGCTGTATTATGTTATGTTAATGTTCTATTATTCTGAGTTGATTTGATTTACCAAAAAATGTGAATTACATCTCAATGTCCTTCACATTTAAGAAATTGACTCTCCACACTATCTGCTAAATAAATATTTGGACAAGTTACAATGAGATAATTCAATTTTCCACCAGTCTTATATACTTTTTTGGGTCTAAAAGAGGCTCTCCCTAACTTGGTTAAAGTTTAGTATTGGGCTATGATGCACGGATACGATACGTATCCGATACGGCGATACATCAAGTTTTGAAAATATAGGATACGATACGTTTAGGATACGTATTAAAAAAAAATTAATATATATAAAATAATAATTGCAAATAAATATTCAAAAATCAAAATTAAGAATACATTTCTTGCTTTTTAATTTTTAAACATTACTAAAAAAATTATAAATTATTTTTTATTGTCAAAAAATAGGAATAGTATCAATTTCATCCCTTACTTGACCATCATCTGTAAATAAGACAGGTTCTATTTTTGGTTCATCAAGAGATAATGACACCACCTCAAGATTTTCAACACCATCAAAGCTACCCCATGCATCTCCACCAATGTCCCACATTCTAGTACTCCCTTGCATATATTCTTCACTTTCCCTAGACAAGAGTCGCAAATTAGTATGTACATAAACCAAGTCTTCTGCTCTTTTAGGATTCAACTTATTTCTTTTCAGGGAGTGAATGAAGGAATAAGTACTCCAATTCCTTTCACAACAAGATGAAGAACCATAGTAGTCAATAGCGGCCGGAGCGGCCGCTTTCGCGGCGCTCCGGAGCGGAGCGGCCTCACCCCGCAATGTGCATCGAGGTAGAGGACTCTAGGATATAAATTTTTATATGTATTTGGAGTTATACCTTTTCTTTTGAAAACAATTTGTAAACTCTTAAGTTTTACTTTCCAAGTTTTATTTTCAATTATTTTGGATATTGAAGAACAATTATGAAGGTTTTATGTGAACCCTTTTACCAACGTTGAAAATTTTATTCTTTAGTTTATTTACATTGTTACAATATATATGAGTTGGGGTAGTAAGGGTGTCACATTGCATACCTTAGTGAGTGTATAAACATATGTGTCCTCTCTGTGAGAGTAAACCAAACACTCAAACAAAACCTAATTAGTTATCATATGTAAAGCCTGAAGAGGCTAGGGAAAGAATACATGTAAAGCCTGGAGAGGCT